CTCTTATCATTTCGAAGACGCAAGCTGTCTGTGTCCACACTTGCCAACTGCCATGGTTGCATTAAGTATTGAAATCTACCATTAAGATTTATGACCTTCAATGCACTCCCTACACAAACAACCAAATATTTACTCCTCTCTCTAATTCATATATTTCAGTATAGTTTTTTAGGTTTTATCGTTTTGTATATAGTTAAATTCGTAAAAGGTTTCTGGTCCACACAAGTCAATAATTTGAAATAACTTGCACTTAAATTTGAAATTTAAAGAATTATATTGATTAATGGATACAATACGTATCGAAAATTTTAGAATATTACAAATAGAGTCATTTATCGTGGTTGAGAAAAAAATGTTTTTTTTAAAACGAGTTTCATAAATTAAATCAAGTGAAAGCGGTGTGATGATTGCCTCCAAACACAAACATTTCCGATTTTGTTTAATTTATAAAGAAAACATATAACCATGTATTTATGTTTCTTTTCCAAAAGTATCGGCACAAACAATTTCATTTCAGGGAATAAGAATCAGACTAACAATTTTGAAAACCTCCTAAGATTACATAAATAGTATGAAAGGTTGGCCAATTTATAGAATTTTTCGCTATTTTCAGAAAAATTGCATAGTGTGTTTCAAACCAAAAGACCCGCATCTCTTCTAGACATTCTATTGTTCAAAGGAAACCGTCCAGTTGAATAGAACATCCAAAATTTTATATGTTATATAGATAACTACATCGTACAATTGTTATTTTTATAAAAGTAATGATAGCAAAATGGCAAATGCATTATTAATAAATAGTGCATTTATAAAGGATTAATTTTTTTTTATAAATGGTAGATTTGAAATTATTCTCAATATATAGTGAACCGGTAAAACAAAAAAAAAACTTGCTAATACCATTATTAAACGAATTAGATCCAAATTACCGACGTATATGAAGAAACCAAAATTTGTATACCAATGTTGCCTTATTTGACACCAAAGTGAACACACCAAGTCAAAAACTTCACATATTTGTCTTTTCCCAACTTTGGATGAAAATTGTATTCACACGTTTTTTCCCGTACATATCCATTTAAATTTTTCTTTCGTAAGCTGAAGAATCTTCCCCTCTCTCTGTGTTTACATAAAACCAAAGCCACGTATACATAGCCTCATTGCATTTACTACTATCCACACTTGATTTTGTTGTAAAGAAATCTTATTCAATATATATACACCTCTTTCTACTCACCTCAAGTGCATGAGAAAGTCCGAAAAAAGACTAGCATTTCTTCTCTCTCTCTCTCTTCATTTGACTCTCTTCACTAACTTTGTGATTCCAGAATGGAACAAGAGCGCAAGAACAACATGAATGGTATGGAGATGGAGAAAGGAAAAAAAGAGACTGGATCGAAGAAAGGAGTTGAGTTAACATTGAGAGTGCTGGCTTTGGTCCTAACAATGGCTGGTGCAATAATACTTGGTGTAGCAAAACAGACAAAAATTGTGTCTATAAAGCTTATTCCAACTTTGCCTCCTCTTGATGTCTCTACAACCGCCAAATCTTCTTACTTGTCTGCCTTTGTGTAAGCCTAGATCTCTCTCTTTTTTTCTCTCCATCTTTTATACTCATACACACATATGAAAAACCAAAATTTATGTTGCATATATGTATTACGATCAAGTGAAATTTTTGCATGCGCTTAATTAGTGTGATATTTCTATAGATCACATTGTCAAAACATATAGTAGCATTTTAGTTATTTTTTCATAAAAAAAAAAATCTTTTGCAAAATTTGCACTTTTTCATCACAACTAACCATGTTTTAACTTAAATGGTTATAAGTGTGAGTTAATTTTAATGATAAATTAACTTAAAATGGTTATAAGTGTGGGTTAACTTTAATGATATTATGCGTTAAATGTATTTGTTAACGTAACGGAAACGCAAACACGAAATTATTGATGCCATAATGTGTGGATAATGTTATCTCAACCTTAGATTTAGGGATAGAATTCTTGTTTTTGTTTTTTCCCCAATTGTTTTGTTTTTTCGTATGGGTTTTGGTTGCATGCGCAAAAGGACTGCTGAACTAATTTTCTGCATACTATTCAACCTTTAGATTTGTGCGTGTATATAATATTCATAATTAAAATGTATTCACGTACATGCATATATAATAATATAAAATCATTGACAGATCGACTAGTATACAGTAAATTTCTTAGTTAATTAATCCTATCATAAATGTCCAACTACTAAGCTGTTAGACAACAATGATCCTGGTCCATAGACAATCTTTCTCTAACCTTTCCCAGCTTTTATTTTAGTTTAGAATTTAATGTACAACTGTTTTAGCTGGCATGACGAGCAATATAATGCAGAATCTGCATATTTATTTATATATTAATAAAACTTGAGAAATTTAAAAAACTACCACTTTTCAAATACCACACTTTTAAAATTTTTACAAAAATGCCACTTTTTCAAAATTATTTTTTCTTTATATTATTTATATTTGTGTTAATTATGTTCTATTAGAATTTAGTTATGAGGGTTTAGGGGGTTTTAGAGATCAAAATAT